CTCCTGCCTTGTATGCCACATGCACCACCGCACCGGTCGAAAATGGGCCCCCCCTCCGGGCGTGTTTGCGGCCGCCGCCTTTGCGGCCGCGCGCCAGGTGCCCCCGGTGTCACTAGTGCCTCGCTTGCACTGCCCAGCGGCTCGCACCCCCGCCGGCCACGTCGGCCCGCGGTGGGTTATATCGCATATTTTTTCTGGAGGTTTTTTTCGCGAGCCGCCTACAGCCCCGGCAAGCACATGCCGGCCGGGGGGCGTGGCGCGCGCCCCGCACGGCGCGCGCCCGCTGCCGAGCGGCCAAACTCGGCGCCCGCCGTCCGCACCGGCCCCTTGCAGGGGCCGTGCGACGCGGGGATTAGTGCGCTTTCATTGCGCGTGGGTTTTGTTGTGGTGTTGCCATCCGCGCCTCGCAGGCGCCGGTGGCGTTGACCGCCTGCCATGCGGCGGTTGACTGCTCGTTTTCCTTGACCCTGGTTGGAACACGGTGGCTACAGGATCCTGCGATGCCGCAGGCGGAGTAACAAATCATCATCATCATCATCATCGCCAACTCGGCCGACGCTGGGCCGACACGGCCGACGCTGGGCCCAGCCGCCCAGCCGCGCAGCGCAGGCGCCGCAGGCCAGCGGCGGGCGCAGCGCCGGCGGCGGCCGGGGAGGGGCCCGGCGGCAGCGGCAGCGGTGGCGGAGGGCTCGGCGGCGACGACGCGCGCGGTGGCCGAGGGGCGCACCCACGCGCGTTGGTGGTGTACGCCGGCGGCCATGGCGGCGCGGGGGCCGCTGGAGCGGAAGACGACGACGACGGGGGAGGGGCGGCGCGCGCGCCGCCGGCGCTCCCAGCGCCGGCGGAGCACGCCGAGGGGCCACACGACCGGGCTATGGTCAGCGCGTGCGTGCGCGCGCAGTCGCTCTTTGAGTCCAGGCTGCGCGAGTACTGCGCGCTGGGCCTCGGCACCGCGTGGGCTGCCCAGGTCCCCGAGGACCACCCCTTTCTACGCTGGAGCGCGGCGGAGGAGCGGCTGGAGGCGGCGATTCTTCTTTGAGGCGGCGGCGGCGGCGGTCTTTAGATGTGCGAACTGCTGGCGGCGCAAGGCATTGCGCGCGCGCGCGCGCCTCGGCTGCGCGCGCGCGCGCAGACGAGCCGGCGCTGCTTCTGATTGGCGGCAGCACCGCGGCCCCGGGGCGGCTGCCGCTGGGGCGCGATTTGGAGCGGCGCGTTTTCGGTTTGTGCGCGGCGCGCGGCGCCGCTGCGGATAAGGGGCGCGCCAAAAACCCGCGCTAATGGGCCCCCCGCAGCCGCGCCGCGCGCTGCCTCAGCGTTGCCACCGCCCAAGCCCCGCGGCGCAGCCATGCGTCGGCTGCGGGACTGCGCGCTTGTGTAAACCTGCATTGTGCGTGCGCGCGTTTGTACTGCTGCTTGCTTGCCTGCGCTCTCTCTCCCCCCCTTCTCTCCTGCCTTGTATGCCACATGCACCACCGCACCGGTCGAAAATGGGCCCCCCCTCCGGGCGTGTTTGCGGCCGCCGCCTTTGCGGCCGCGCGCCAGGTGCCCCCGGTGTCACTAGTGCCTCGCTTGCACTGCCCAGCGGCGCGCGGCGCCGCTGCGGATAAGGGGCGCGCCAAAAACCCGCGCTAATGGGCCCCCCGCAGCCGCGCCGCGCGCTGCCTCAGCGTTGCCACCGCCCAAGCCCCGCGGCGCAGCCATGCGTCGGCTGCGGGACTGCGCGCTTGTGTAAACCTGCATTGTGCGTGCGCGCGTTTGTACTGTTGCTTGCTTGCCTGCGCTCTCTCTCCCCCCCTTCTCTCCTGCCTTGTATGCCACATGCACCACCGCACCGGTCGAAAATGGGCCCCCCCTCCGGGCGTGTTTGCGGCCGCCGCCTTTGCGGCCGCGCGCCAGGTGCCCCCGGTGTCACTAGTGCCTCGCTTGCACTGCCCAGCGGCTCGCACCCCCGCCGGTCACGTCGGCCCGCGGTGGGTTCTATCGCATATTTTTTCTGGAGGTTTTTTCGCGAGCCGCCTACAGCCCCGGCAAGCACGTGCCGGCCGGGGGGCGTGGCGCGCGCCCCGCACGGCGCGCGCCCGCTGCCGAGCGGCCAAACTCGGCGCCTGCCGTCCGCACCGGCCCCTTGCAGGGGCCGTGCGACGCGGGGATTAGTGCGCTATCATTGCGCGTGGGTTTTGTTGTGGTGTTGCCATCCGCGCCTCGCAGGCGCCGGTGGTGTTGACCGCCTGCCATGCGGCGGTTGACTGCTCGTTTTTCCTTGACCCTGGTTGGAACACGGTGGCTGCAGGATCCTGCGATGCCGCAGGCGGAGTAACAAATCATCATCATCATTTTTGTTTCACGCCGTGTTGGAGGCGCCGTCACGCCGTGTTGGAGGCGCGCGCTTGGGGCGGTTTGCGGCGGCTGTGTAGGGCGACCCAGTTGGCGACACTGCCCCATGGTCTATTGTGCCTGCAGTTGCTTTGGCTTCCTCGCGCGCGCGCTTTCATTTCTCGGCGTCTGCGGCTTGCCCCCGCCGGCGCGCGCTGCGGCGCGGGACGGGGGAGAGCCGCGCGCTGAAGGGTGGGGCAGTTGGTTTTTGGCCTTTGCGGCGGTTGGCCGCGGGTCTTATTTTTGGGCTGCCCCACACGCCGTTTGCTTGCCCATCCGCTGATGCGGTGATGCTTGCTTGTGCACCCGACGCACCGCCGGACCGGGCGGCGGGCGGGAGGTTGAAAAAGGCGGCCCGGTATAGGATCCCACGATGCCGTGGGCGGAGTAACCATCAATTCAAATTCAAAATTTTTGTTTCACATATATAATTACGTTTATATAGGCTCCGGAGCCTATGTAAACACACAATTGTCATAGCAGCCCGCCCCCGTGACCCCTCTGCGCTCGGCCGCAGAGGGCTGGCCTCCCGGCCCGGGAGGCTCCCGGAGCCGGACGGGCCGTCATCTCCGGGAGCACTCGCGACTGACCTCACTGCGCCACAGGAGCAGGCCCTCTCCTGCCCACGCGACGCCCTCTGCTGCCCGCGCGGACCCGCCGTTGGTGCTGCCATCCCCCCCCCTCACGGTGTGGGTGGCGTTGACCGCCTGCCATGCGGCGGAAGACTCCTCGTTTCCCCTTTACCCTGGTTGCAGGATCCATCGAAGCCGGCGCAGGCGGCCCGATCGCATCTCAAGCTTTACAATGAGTTCACAAGTGCAAGCAAAGCAATGCAGCAGCTGAAATAAACAGTGAAAAGCAGGGCAAACGCGCAGAGGCGCCGGCCAACAAAAGCGCGGCCGAATAAATCGGCTGCGGAAGCGCCAATCACGGGGCGCGCAGTCACTGGCGCTAGCGCCGATCTGCGTGCGCGACTGCGCGTGCCAGCTCCGCCGTGGCACTCCGGCCCAGTGCGGCGGCGTCAGCATGCGCCTCCCGCTGCGGCCCCACCGCCGGCTCCGTCCCCGCCTTCGCACCAGGGAGCGCCCCACCACGCCTGCACACCGGCCCGCAGCACAAACGCGGCCGCGCCGTCGGCCGCCGAGGCGTCGTCCAGCGGCTGGGGTCCCGCGTCGTCGCAGGATTGGGAAGCTGCCGCGCACGCGTCCCGCAGGGCGGCGTGCAGCACAGCGACCTCTGGGCCGCGCGCCGTCACCCCGTGCCACGTGCAGCCGCCGGGCCTGGCGTGCTCCTGCTGCGGCGGCTGCTGCTGCTCCTCCTGCTGCTGCTGAGGCGGCGCGAGCGCGTCTGGCCACGCCGCTGCGGCTGACAGGATGAGCGGCAGGGCAGGCACGCGGCTTGGGCCGGCGCCGCGGCAGCCGCCCAGCAGATCTGAGATCAGCGCGCGCGCCTCCTCTGGGCGACCGAGCTCCCGCAGCAAGTGGGCGAGCGCGGCCG